GAAAAAAAAGGCAGTGCTTATGTGGCTTCATAATGACACTTTTAAAATGACATTTTAATGGAAATGCTTTAGGCTGTTTCTTTTGGTCTTTTCTTTGCTGCTGTTGTGAGGCTTAAATCTACCTCCTTTAAAATAGAATAACATGGACTTGGGTATAACCATGTCGTTGTAAATCTGGACATTTGATGTCCACTTACATTATTTATTTTGTTCTGACCCAAATTTCTTTGCTTTTGGAGATTTGGGGGTATGGCTCGGTCAAGACAACTTTAACCATGTTCACTTTTATTTCATTTGCCTGAGATTAATCTAAAAGAGGAACATTGCTGGCCTTTGAATAAAATGGTCACATTTGACTGGTGGAATTCATCATTAGCAGTGTCAGATTAATAAAATATTTGATTTGCACTCACAAAATCATTGTACTGTAGAATTTATTTAGAAGAACATATTGTCACTGGATTTTGACAGTTGCCAGATATCAGGGGGGTTCCATGAGTGTATGACACAAGTGCCAGAGCATTACTGAGTGTCAGGTTTTGGGCTTGGGGGTGCTCATTATCTTTTCTCCACAGGATGCTGGAGGGCAGCAGATTGGCTTCTTGCTAGGAAGCTGTGGTATTGCCTTAGCTCTTACCAGTGAAGTTTGTCTAAAGGGATTGCCAAAAACCCAGAATGGAGAAATTGTACAGTTTAAAGGTTAGTAATATTTGTACCTGAATTATGAGTTGAAAATTAAAGCTGAGTGCTTTTAATTAGTGTTTTAATTTAATAATAGTTAAGTACTTAACATGCGTTTTCTTATTTAATTCTCACAACCTTATGAAGTAGGTACCATTATTATCCCCGTTTTACAGGTGAGGAAACTGAGACACAGAGAGGTTAAGTAACTTGCCCAAAGTCACAGCTAATAAATGGCAGAGCAGCGATTTGAACCCAAATCTGATTCCACAGCCCACACCCTTAACCTTTATGCTGATGGTTGGAAAAGCTACCACTCTGTTCACTAAAGCTAAATGCTACATGTAGAGACAGAGGATAGACCAGTAACCTCAGTGGACTTCCACTGCCAAATGGACCTCCCAGTTGTTGAGGTAATGTCAAGGCCTGGCATTAGCATGTGGAACGATTGTGCTTTTGAAAGAAGGTATAATTGTCTGGTGTTTTATCACTGAACACTAATAAAGATAAAGTACTTTACTGATTGTAAAATGACCTTGATTTGGTCTCTTGATATTTAAAATGACCAGTTCATTGTGAACTTCTTTCCTGATGGCTTAGGCAACTCAATTTTTATTTTGGGTTTGATTTAGGTTGGCCCCGGCTCAAATGGGTTGTAACAGATTCCAAGTACCTTTCAAAGCCACCTAAAGACTGGCAGCCCCACATCTCACCTGCTGGTACAGAACCAGCATACATTGAGGTAAGTCTTGTGACTAGGATACACATTCTGGCTTTTCCTCTGGCCTCGATTGCTATCTCACAAAATATGAAACTAACTTTTTGCACTTTTAATGTCAGTAGATCCTCCTAGTTTATTAGATTTCCATCTTTTTGCTTGTAACATGCCTTACAATGGACCTTCTAATTATTTTTAACATAAATAAACATTTAAGAGAAAGACAGCAGAGAAATTGATCTTTGCCATGTAAGAAAGTTACAAAAGACTTAGAGAATTTCAGAGATTTAAAAAATAATTTACTGACAGATATTTCTCTGCTGCTTTGAGGGCAGAGGTTGACGGGTGGTGCAGTGGGAAGCAAGAGACTGGAGAAATGAAAAGGGAAAATTGCTGTGCTTGTAAAAAAACAAATTTAGGAGATAAAAGAAAAAGAGCAAGAAAAAATGGATGGCTAGAGGGCTTGGTGTGGAAGGTTAGTGCAGGAACTTGATTGATTGGTAACATGATTCAGTTGAGAAATTAAGCTCTGCTGCATACCAGGCAGCAGGCCAAGTGCTCTAAATGCATTATCTCACTCAGTCTTCGTAAGTACCCTGTGAAGTGGGGGGTTGTTATTAAACCTGCTTTGTAGATGAGGAATCTAAGGTTTAAACTAACTTGACTCACCAATCAAAGGTTTGTCTAAAACCTTGACTCAAAAATGGCTGAGCTGGGAATCAAACTCACATCTGTAAACCTCTAGAAGCTATACCCTTGCCTGCTCTGCATGTTGCTTGAGACATATTAGTAAATACTCACCAACTGTTTGCTAAATTAATGAGTAACATCAATAAAAAAATTTTTTTAAGCCTTTGGGGAAAAAATCCACCCAACCTGGAGCCCTGTGACGAAAACTTTGGCTATAAAAGGAAAGAAAGAAGGCAGTAGCTTTGAGAGGTTTGATGTTGGACTCAAGGAGGAGTACAGGCTATTGAAAAACCAAATTTAGCGATCAGCTCTCAACCCATATCCTCTCGGAGTGATGACATGGGTCAGCACTTCATCCTCCTTAAAACTGCTCACTGGCTTCCCTTCCCTTATTTCTCCTGCCTCACTAACCACTCCTTCTCAGTCTTCTTCACTGGTTCTTCCTGAAAGGTGAAGGGTCCTTCATTATGTGGCCCCTGCTTAGCTCTCTGGCCTCGTGTAGAACTACTGTCCTCTACATTTCCAGGCTTCTGCTAGTCTGAATTAACTTGCGGTTTTCGCTTAGGACGCTCTTAATAACCAAAGAATATCGCTAGTGAGTGTCAAGTATCCTGTGGGTAATTGGGAGCTGTTAAAGGGTTATCAGCAGAAGAGAGAAGAATAAATATGTTGTTAAAAGACTTATCTGTTTGGTGGGGTTAAGAGGGGAAGTGGGGAGCTTTTACAGTTATTCCAACTCATGGTGATGGGATGGGGAGAAGTGGATGCAGTTGAGAGACAGTAAGGAAGCAGGAGAAGCAGAACTTAGTGACTGATTCTGGAGAGGGAGGAGGCTAGAAAGACAATCAGGTTTCTCACTTGGGCAACTGGGTAGAGGATGACGTCCTTCATTAAGACAGAAAATACAACAAGAAGGGTTTTCCTGGGCAAGGGGTGGGGGTGAATAATTAACTGTTGGCTACACTGGGTTTCACAGGACTGTAAGTTGTTTCGAGGAAACAGTTGACTCAGTGTGGATCTCTGGAGAGAGGTCTGGGTTGAAGATAAGAGAAGCAGGAGTCATCAGGAATGTGGTGTCCTGATTGAATAAAGTGAGAGAGAAGAGGAAGAACAGAGCTTTCAGGGAAAGCCAACATTCAAGGGATGGGCAGAGAAAGTGAAGGGTAGAAAGAGAGTCAGAGAATATGAGTAGGAAAGAAGAGTATCACAAAAGCCAAGAAAGGAGAGGTGGGAGGGTATAGCTCAAGTTGTAGAGCTCATGCTTAGCGTGCACGAGATCCTGGGTTCAATCCCCAGTACCCCCCTCTAAAAATAAATAAATAAACAAACCTAATTATCTCCCCTGGCCCAAAAAAAAAGCCAAGGAAGGAGAGAGTGTCAAGAAAGGAGGTATTACATGTTACAGAAAGGTCTGATAAGGTATGCAATATGTCCTTTTGACTTACCAATAAAAAAGTGGTGGATCTTGGTGAAAAGCAACTTGAAAGACACATCGAGTTAAAAGCAAAATCGTGGTTGATTGACTTGTAGGAGTGACTAGGCATTGCTTGGTGTCCTCTCCCAGCTGGGAGCTGCTGGTAGACTGGACCATAGCTTATGCACCTTTAGCTCTGCCCGCCGTGCTTGCTCTGCCCTTGATGCCATGCTGTTAATGCAGCTTAGGTCATTTGTTTGTTTTAGCTTCTTTAGCAGCCACTTCACACTGATGACTAATTAAGCTTTTAAGACACATACTTTTGTTGAGCTTTATCATTCCCCAGTCCTATCTTTGCGTGATTAGAGTCTGGGGCCCAAGTGCATAGCCTCAGATACTTATATGAAACATGTTAAATTCAGCCCATTGTCATGGCTTTTCTGGGTTTCATTATTTGGATTCTAGTTCTGTCATTTGAAATAACCCCTTTAATTGTTTCTTGTGTTTTTGTTTTTTGTGTTTTTTTTTTTTCTAGTATAAAACAAGCAAAGAAGGGAGCGTAATGGGAGTTACAGTGTCCCGCCTTGCAATGTTGTCTCACTGCCAAGCTCTGTCCCAGGCCTGCAATTATTCTGAAGGTCAGACTTCATCCTGTGACTGCCCACATTGTGAGCTCAGATATATGTGACTACGAGCAGTGCTCAGTGACTGGATTCCAGTTAATGACCACATTCAGAGGGAAATGTTCTAAGACACATTCTTGGCTTGCCTTTGCTTTCTTCTTTTTCACAAATACACTGTAATTTAAAGGAACTAAAATTCTGGGCAAACCAAGTATGTAAAGCATGATTTCTAGAGTGCAGAAATAGAAAACTAATTGAAAGCATGTGTTCATTAGCTGCAAAATGTCAGGTATCTCCATCTCCCTGTGTATGTAGAGCTGCCACCAGCTGTATGTTTGGAGTTAGAGTCAGAGTTTCTGCTACCAAAAAACACAAAGTCAGCCACAAAAAGTATTCAGGATTGTTGGACTTTTAATGTGCTGATATATATTGTGTAATGACTATATCCTTTAGAATGTTCTTGAGAATATTAATTTTTTTTAGTGTTTTATTTTCCTTTCGTAGAATGGAACAAGTTAATACATGCTCATTATAGAGCAGCATTCTTGTCTGGAAATGTCAGGAAAATGGTTGATTAAATTATAATAAATTAATATACTCTGAGGCATTAAAACTTATGTTCTTGAATATTAAAGATTGTTTCAATATATCAAGTGAAAACAAATTATAGATACAGAGCAGTGTATACCAATTTTGTTATGTCAGATATCTGTCTCTAAATGTACTTAAAAGTATATGTACATACATGTATGTACATATTATATATGTATACGCACCAACATGCTTTATTTTCTCTAGGAAGTATAATTTTTTACATATGTTTGTGAAACTTCCAAAGTTTCTAAAGTAAACATGTGTTCCTTATGTAATTAGGAAAAAAGTTACTATCTTTCGAAGACAGTGCCTAAGTCACGGAATTTCAAACTCATTGTTTCTTATGTGACCACGTCACCCTGTGATCAGTTCCCCAGCCAATTTGTGGGGACCCTCAAGTAATCAGAAGACCCTGAGAGCTTTTAGTGATTTCTTTCAAAGTACCAGTCAGTTGTTTAATAGAGGCAAGTGGTATAATTTTGCTATTTAACACTTAAGATGATTTCCTTGTTTTTTTTCCTGTTTTTTTCTATTTTAGGGGAAACAGTAGTAAATGTTCTAGACTTTAAGAAGGATGCTGGGCTGTGGCACGGCATGTTTGCGGTAAGCTGTACAGAATTAAGGCCTTTGGTATAAATTGTGCTTACGATTCAAGTCGTTATGCATGCTGTGTAACCACAGCATCTCAGTGCTTGTTTGAAAGTTAAGCCCCTAAAAGATCAGTAATATTTTCCAGGGGAATTTGATTTTGTGATACAAATGGGAATTTTTTTTTTTTAAATAATGTAATTCTGTTTTTTCCTTCATCGTGTGGTTGGGCATACCCTTCACATAATAGTATGTAGTAGAACTTAGGATCAAAAAATTTAAAAACATCTGCTATGATGACGCAAAGCCTAAAAAAATCTATGAATAATTATGTATTTATTTATGATTTAAAAACATATGTTTGAGATTTACCCCTTCTCTTTTCTGAAGAAAAAAATTACATAAATATGTTAGAACTTTACAGCTGTGGTGAATAATCCTTTCCATTGGACAAAATATCTTGAATGACCCCATGCCACCAGGAAAGAATAGAGTCACAGGGTAGTTCAGGCTGCTTTCTTGACAGAGGAACAGGTAACATGCCAAGGGAGTTAGAGAAAGGTGAGTTCCTCCCACCTGTGGCCTCAGTTTTTATGGAAGAGGTGACAGTTGAGTTGGACTTTGAAAAATGGGTAAGATGTAGCCATCTAGAGATATTTGGGAGGTGGAAGTAGAGAGAGAGGGGACATACCAAGTGGGAAAAGCTGCATATGTAGCATGGTGATTAGGAGAGATAAGAGCTACAAGACCCTAGAGTTGAAAAAGACCTTTGAGAGTAGCGCATCTAGCTTCCGTGCTCATCGCGGGAGTCTGAGAAAGACTGGGCGGTGAAGCATGGGGAGCACGAGGAGGATCCCCTTTCCCGCAGGACCACTCAACTTAGTAAAAGTCTGACTCCTTGAGCACTCATACTTTCTAGCTTTTTTCTGAAGCCCGTCCTGTTTTGTTTCTTATCAGAAGTTAAAAAAAAAAAAACCCTTGTAAGAAGTTAGAAAGAATCTTCCCTCTGTGGTCCACAGAGCAAGACAGGGACATGTGTGAAGCATGAGTTATAAACGCCATTCTTTCCTTGAAGTCCAAAAGTTTGTCATCAACATTTGAATTTGAGGGAGGGAGGAAAAAAGAGGTTTGCAGTGGTATCTTGGTCTCTTTGGGCCACTTAGGTGTTTAATAAAATGGCCAGTCTAAATACCAAGACATAGTCACTCTGTCAGGCTGGCTCTCCTTGAGGACAGAGGGTCCTGGGTGTGTTTGGTTTGGGTGACAGGAGAGACACCGAATGACATGATCCCCTTAGGTTACTCAGCTTGATCTACCCAAACACCTAACAGGTCTGGGCAGGACCTTCTGTAAGCAACAGGGGCTCTTTCATTTCTGACTTTGTAAGACCCAGCCCTGTGTGGTATGTGACAAGCATGAACATGATGTAGATTAGAGGGTAGTTTGGCAGTTGTCTGTTAAATTTAAAAAGCGCATATCCTATGACTCAGCAATACCACTTTTCAGTACCTACCCTGAGGAAACACTTGCACATGTGCCCAGGAAAATGAGTATAAATATGTTCCTTGAAACATTGTTTGTAGTAGCAAAAAAAAAATTGTCAGTAATAGGGAAATGCCTAAATAAGTTATGGATAGTCATTCTATGGAACACTATGCAGCAGTTCAAAAATATTACGTACCTCTCTTACACTGATGTGCATAGATTTAGGTTTAAAACAATTTTAAGTGAAAAACAGTAAGTTGCAGACATATGTATAGTATGATGCCTTTTATGTTAAAAATACTTTTATGTCTCTATGGGGACAAATATATATGTAAATATATAGAAAGAGGACTGGGAAGGTCCATTCCAGATTCATAACAGTGTTTGTCTATGAGGAAGAACAGAACCAGGTTTGAGAATAAGTAGCAAGGAAGGCTTCTAACTTATAGTTAATATTTCAGATTTTTTTCAAAGAGCATGTATGAAAGTATTTCATGATTAAAATTGTTAGCAAAATACCAGTTCAATCTGAAAATGCTAAGTATGTTTTAGATATTGATTGCTTTTTATCTTTCTTTGCTTTTCAGAATGTAATGAATAAGATGCATACAGTTAGTGTACCCTACTCTGTTATGAAGACCTGTCCTCTATCTTGGGTCCAGAGAGTACATGCCCACAAAGGTAGTTACACACAGCATCTAAGCTTTAATTATATGACTGTTTGAACTAAGATTTTAGGGATTTTCAAATTACTCTTCTAGAAACATAATTCTATGCCTTGGTGCCTTGATAGATTTTAGAGTTGAGGTCCTGTGGAATTAGATACGTTGTCCAGTTGAGCTCACTTGGTGTCCCTGCTTAAAAACTGAGATGACTGTGCCTGAATCTGAGCCTTGAGTTAGAGTTATTGGGGTCTTTGGTGTTCAGAGCCTCCTTGGCTGGGATGTGCGGCCTGCCTGCAGGTCACAGTTGGCAAATAGTTGTGTGTCCAGTCAGTAGCTGCTACCTCAGAGCACCTGGCACCGTTTCTTTGAAACCTTTTTTATTTTCTCGAAGTGAAAACCATGATTTCTAAAATAAGTAAAAATGTGTTTATTATAGTGTATTAAATATCTCCCCAGTGTGGTGCGTGTATGTGTGCTGACTTTATCCCTTTTGCATTTGTAGCCAAGGTAGCTTTAGTCAAATGCCGAGACTTGCACTGGGCGATGATGGCACATCGGGACCAAAGAGACGTGAGCTTGAGTTCCCTCCGGATGTTGATTGTGACTGATGGAGCTAATCCCTGTGAGTGTTTCTAGAGTGTTGGTCTGAGAATACCCTTTCCTTGGTAGGCTGAAGTTTTCATCCCTTTTCTGTAAGCATTTTCTTAAACATCTGCATTGAGAGATAATTCACGTACCATAAAACTCACCCATTTGAAGTTTACAGTTCAGTGGTGTCAGTATATTCACAGAGTTCTACAACTGTCATCATTGTCCTAAGTTTAGAACTTCATCATCCCAAAAAGGAACCTTGTACCCATTTGTAGTTACTCCCAGTTTCTTCTCCTCTGTCCCCCAGCCCCAGGCTGTCTCTGCATATTTACCTGTTCTGGACACTTCATATTAATGCAGTCATACCCTATGTGACTAGCTCCTTTCACTTAGCATGTTGTCAAGGTCCATCCATGTTGCAACATGTGTTTGTATTTTATTCCTTTTTATTACCATATAATATTCCATGTGTGGATATACTACATTTTATGTAGTCATTCATCATTTGATGGATCCATAAGCTTTTAAACTCACTCCTTACTCATTTGGATCCTTTATCACATAACAAAAAGAGTGATAAGGTGACTTGATGTAACCAAGTGTCTGGCCTTTATGTAAATTCCCTATCAGCAAATCAAAGGAGTTTACAAAAGCTTTCAGAGATCTTTCTGTGTTACCTGCTTTTCCCCACAAGCGCCCCGTCCTGAGCCTGCACAGGGTAGAGTCAGGTATAATGTTAGATACTACTGTGCTCTTTGTCATCATGGATTTTTGTCCACAGTCACAGTGGTCATCCTGGCATAAAATACAGACATGGGACTGACCTTAAACAAGTCAGAGAGTGCATGAAGACGATGAAACTAAGCTAGAATATTTGTACTGCGCTGACTAAGATGCACTAGTTACTTTGGGAAGAGTTGCTCGGTTCCAGACTGGCTGGAAGTTGCAGTTGTTGCCTGTAGGGCATCTCCACTGTTGATTGGGCAGTTTGGTAGGAGCAGCCTATTCCAAGGTGTAACTTTAAATAGTGTCAGTGACCTTCTGTGGGCTGGACGAGCATTCGTTTGTCCTTGAAACCTATCAGCCATCTCACAGGCACAGTGAAATATTTGCATGGAATTAATGACGTACAGTGAGCATTCCCACAAGAAACAAACGTTGTTGGCTTTCCACCCTTTACCAGTTTCCTGCGGTAATGAAAATCACATTTGCAGCTTTCAAGTTGATCTGTTTCAACTCCTCAGGGTCTGTGTCATCCTGTGATGCCTTCCTGAGTCTGTTCCAAAGCCATGGTCTGAAACCTGAGGCCATCTGTCCGTGTGCCACTTCTGCTGAAGCCATGACTGTCGCAATCCGCAGGTATTTTTCACGGTGTTGGTGCTCTTGGTGTATGTTAACAGCTTTGATCAAATGTGCAAAACTGACCAGGCGGTGACAAGGGGCACTATCTAATTTTCTGCTTCATAAGCCGGAAAGTGAAAATGACTTTGTAAAGCAGTTTGAAGCATCTCATTTATTTTTCCCACTTTTGCCCTAAGTGTAACTGATAAACTGAAATGTCACTTTAATTATTACCATATATGTGAATTGTTTCTTTTCCAGTCTTATTTTGTTCTTCAGAATCCTTAATTAGCATCGTAGACTGGAAATAGACTGTTCTTGACTGTAGCTTACGTACCTATATATGTAGTACACCCTAGCTGATACATTAACTGATTAAAATTTACTTTTCCACCTGAATGAAAGTTGACCATGCTTTGCACATGTGAATTTGATTAAATTGGCATGTTATTGATAGAGAAAATGAGAATTTGTGTGTGTGTGGTAGCCAGAGGAAATTTCCTTCCCTACATACTCATGCTTTTATCTTAATAACATTTAATTTGCCAAATTTGATGAGTTTATTTTGTTTTCAGGCCTGGAGTTCCAGGGGCCCCTTTGCCGGGAAGAGCCATTCTCTCCATGAATGGGTTGAGCTATGGGGTAATACGGGTCAATACTGAAGATAAAAATTCAGCACTGACGGTCCAGGATGTGGGACATGTAATGCCCGGGGGTGAGTTCTCAGGAACTCCATTCAGTTTTTCATAAAGATTTGTCTTTAGAGAGAGTAGAGCCTGATAAAATATGAGATCCAAAACCAGGAAGCCAAAATTTAATACTTAGTCACTTAATTTTTCAAAGCCTGTCTAACAGTTAAGTGATTCTAGTTATACCTACCTTCCAGCAGAATTGTAGGATTTAATTGTGAATGCTTCAGTTACAGTTGTTCACATGGAAAGCTAAGTACTGAGTGACCCTAAAATTGTCTGGTTTTCACTGTAATTGCCAAAACATTGGGGCAGGCAGAAAGTTAGAGTACGCTGCTTCTTGTGCATGTTTGAGTTTGATCTAGGGAAGGGTAAATTAAGTTAATCTGTTTCTTTGAGCTTGAATGAGTCACTGTCTTTAAAACCTCCAGTCTGCATCTATTGTATGTTTTATTTGCTGAATTTAGAAAATTATTTGTTTATTATCAGGGCTAAAAGATGGAAATTTCAGATATACTTATGTAGTATCAGATCTTTTCTTATCCTTCCTGTTTGGCATTCTTTCTTAATGCCACTCAGTAAATGCACGAGTTTCCTGGGTTCATAAGGACGAAGCTGTTTTTGTGAAGGTTTTCCAAACTGTCCCTTGACTGCACTTTTCTGTACACTAGGGATGATGTGTATTGTGAGACCCGATGGACCTCCCCAACTCTGCAAAACAGATGAAATTGGAGAAATCTGTGTCAGCTCCAGAACAGGAGGGATGATGTACTTTGGGCTTGCTGGTGTGACAAAAAATACATTTGAGGTACACGGTGTTACAGGTTCATGGGGAAAATGTTGGGTGAGGTCAGGGGGTCCCTAGGGCAGCTGCGCCAGCTGATGGGAAGTGTAGCGCTCAATTGTGTGCTCAGAGCCAGACCACTGGTTCCAGCCCTGTCCCTGCCACTCATTCACTGACCTCTGGCAAGTTGCTTAACCTTTCTGTGCCGTAGTTTCCTTCTCTTGAAACTGTGAGGAATCATAGCATCTACCTCAGGACTGTTGAGAGAACTAAATGAGTTAATGTTGATAAAGTGCTCAGACCAGCACCTGGCACACAGGAAATGCTGTGGTTTATCTGTTAAATGTATAAAGAGTTTAAGAGGCTGCCCCAAAATTCACTCTGGTGCATGTGCCATGGTTTGGGCTGCATAAACCCCAGGATTTAATTCTGAGAGAGCAGTGAGGATGGGTCTGCCTCTCAGAAGTTGGCTCGAGTTAGCCCAGCTGGTAAAGATTGATGTAAACCAGAATGCCAGCTCCCTACTGAACCTGAAAGCCAGTCCTGTCACGGGGGCAGATTGCTCCCATTATTCAGTCTTTCAGTCAGAGAAATATTTGTTGAGTACCGTCTGTGTGTCTGGCACTATTCTAGATGCATGTGGTGTACATCAGGAAAACAAACAAAACTCCTCAGATAGCTTATATTCCAGTGGAAGTAGCACATCATTTTCCTGCAGGCAGTTCTGCATGTGAAGCTGAATTATAACGAAATTTTGTCTAGTGAGCCTGGAAATCAGAGCAGGTGTAATTAATTGTCTGTGTTTCATAATTGGGGTTAACCTGCCTCAGGGTACTTTTTAAGGAATGGAAGACTCCAGTGTATGGGCCATGTCCCCTTCACACTAGACAGGGCTCATATGACCTCTGCCTGTTTTCGGTTCTTTGAGCTGCCCTTTCCTATAATCTAGACTGGTGGTTCTCAGTCTTGGTATGGCAGAGCATGTCTGTCTACCATCCCATTTGAAAATCAGTGCATGTAATTATATAATAATAGGTGTAAATAGCGGGAGAGTGTTACCTACATGAATGATGTGGGGGCTGAAAAAGGTTAAGAACTCCTAGGCTGTCCATCATCTGTTTACACAGCCTAAGATGGTATAATATAAATTATTAAGTGTCTGTTGTTACCATCATCTTCATCATCACTACTCCATTCCTGGCCTGGCTTCAAAGGTTGTGACCAGTTCCCTTTGACAGCAGTGGACATTCATAAACTCTTAAGGCCTATGTTTACTGCCATCCCTCTGGTTTACTTTCACAGGGGACTAATTACCTCTGTTGAATGTATATGCATTTTACTAATTTAAATCTCACCTTATTTCTCTTACCTTGGAATGCTTGGACTACATATGTTTCCAACGTCTGAGTTTTTCTTCATTGCATTTTCCTTACGATGAACAACATCCTCAAGCAGGGTTTGAAGATGCTAACAGTATTTTATTACGTGGCCTTTCCTGGGAGGGCAACTGCCCAGCCAAAATTCTCAGATTTAATACTGAATTGCTAGGTCCATAGTGATGAAGAAATTTTGAAATCTGCAGTATAAATTTAATGATAGTGAAGTAGAGTAAAAATCCTAACCAAAAAAGAAGAAAACTCTACTGCTTTGGTTTTGCAAATTAAAGTTTCTAATATTTTTCTTACTGAATTTTTATATTTAAACCTGGAGAGAATTTTCCAGTGTGGTTAACATTTCACTAGGACTAAAGACCAAGTAATGACTGGTCAGAAAATAAAAGTGTATTTTAAAAATAAGCTCCTAATGAGAAAAACTTTGTAGCACATATCAGCACAGAGAGCTAATTTTCCATCTTCATCCCTTACCAGCTAGCTGTTTGATATGAGGCAAATGAAACTCTCTGTGCCTTACTTTCTCATCTGTAGAATGAAAGTATTCATTCTGTTTCATACAGTTTTCTTGAGGATTAACTGGACAATATTTACACCTCTGTGTGTCACATGATCAGTATTTAATAAATGTTACCTTTTCTTATAATTGTTCCCTATATAAAAACAGAAATCTTAAAAATTAAAGGAAAACTGCAATCAAATAGAAAAAAATAGACAGGAGACATGGATTAGACTATTCACAAAAGAAATACAAATGGCCAGGAAACAAAGGAAAAGAGACTCATCCATATTAGTAATAAAGAAATACAATTAAAATAATAGCAGGGTACCTTTTTTTTGTCTACCAGATTGGCAAAGTTTAGAAAAATTGATAACATATAATACTAGCCAGAGTCTAGGAAAAATATTCTAATACAGCATTGCTGGAGTGTAAATTGCTATAATAATTTCGTACAACAGCCTGTTAAAATGGAAAAGACTCATGCCTTTTGTACAAATGCACAGAAATATGTACAATAGTATTCAGTAAAACACTGTTTGTAATAGTGAAAAATTAGAATGACCTATCTAGCCAGAAAGACTGGTTACATTCTAATAGTACTAACTCTGATGGTTTCCTGAGTACTGATCCGGTCCAGGCCGTGAGTTTATGTCTGCAAATCTGTTTATATTCTTTTAAGCAAAATGAGAGGCACTGGGAGTTCCAATTTATGACCAAAGAAACATGTTTAGAGAAGTCCAGGAAACCTGCCCAAGGTCCATATTACTAGTGAGTGGCGGAGCCAGAAACTGAACATACATCTTATTCCAAGGGCTGTGTTACACCATCCCCCATGTGATGATTTATTATAGGACGCCTGTACAAAGGGAGCTAGATTGACGTTACCAGCTTATAATAAAGGTATCCAAAATACATACATTATGTGAAATACATATATTATGTATATATAATACAGAATATGTGAAAAAAGCAAGTTGCAAAACAGTGTGTGTAATATGATCCTTTTTTTAAAAAAAATTCTTATGTTAATACATGAATCTAAAAAAGTCCGGAGAGATAAACAGCAAGTTATACTTGTTATCTCCTAAGTGGGTGGGATTGCTGGATTCATCATTTATATAATTTTAATTTTCAACAAGCATGTATTTAAAAGTTTTTTTTAAAAAGCTAAGATTTTTACTTTCTTCCTTCTGTCTTTTAAGGTGATTCCAGTGAATTCTGCAGGCTCCCCTGTTGGGGATGTCCCATTCATCCGGTCAGGATTGCTGGGCTTTGTAGGGCCGGTAAGTGATGGTTTCATGTTTGTTTTGGTGCATCTGTTCCAATTATTTGCACTTTAGCTCACAGAACAAATTCTTATTGGTCCAAGAGTGTTACACGGCCACTTAACTTATGTTTAGAGCAGTTCCTGTAAAAGTGTCGTAAAGTTAGTTAATGTTTATTATTTCCGTTACCCAAATTCATTTTATCCCTTCAGATTAAGATATTATTTTTTATTTTCAAAACTCTTTTCATTTATTCTTGCTACCTTGCTTTGATTTGATTAAAATGTTTCAAATAAGTTAGAAGAGTTAGAAATAAGTTACTTTCAGTGGCAAAGGGAAACCATAATAAATAACACAAAAAGCGTTCATACAGATTATTAGTACTACACCATGTGTAACAGAAAATTCTTTGAATGAAAACAATTTGGTTTTCATCATATGGTATTTACAGGCACTAGGTTTACAGAGACAATTAGAATGCAAAACCTGTTGTCAGAGAGTTCACAGTTAGTTTCATGAGCCAATAAGGAAGGCAGAGAGCCAGAGCATGAAGGGCTTTGCATGACATAATGGGAGGTTTGGATTTTGTTTTGTAACTAATAGGCATTCATTATCATAGTTGAGCCCACACACCTCCATCCATGTCTAATTACCTTCTTACTCTCTCTTTCTTCTCTTAACAGTTCAAGTTATATAAGAAAAGATCTGATTTTATTTTATTTCTTCCCCACCATTTATGGCTGGTTGTGGGAGTGACAGCATTCCCCTAAGAGAATTGCTCTCCTAGAAAGAGACAGCTACAGCTACTGTCTTGACTTCTTCACTCAACACTGAGAAATTCTCAAAGCCCCAGCTCCATTCCACTATTGAGCTCCACAATGTAGCTTTAGCCATCACATCTGCATTCCAGGAAGCAGGATAGAGGACAGGGCACAGCCCTTAACATTATTCTCTTGAGGGTGGAGAGTATAGCTCAGTGGTAGAGTGCATGCTTAGCATGCACGAGGCCCTGGGTTCAATCCCCAGTACCTCCGTTAAAGAATAAATAAATAAAAATATATAAACCTAATTACCTACCCCCAAAATTAAAAATACATAAATAAACTTAAAAAAAAATGTCCTCTTAAGGAAGATTCCCTGGAGCTGCTGAGCAACCCTTCTGCTTATATCTCGGTCTCCTGAACTAGTCACGTGGCTACACATAGCTGCAAGGGAGACTGAAATGCAGTCTTTATTTTGGTCAGTCTTGCCCAGCTAGAAATTCTGTTACTATGAAAGAAATGCAGGGACATTGAGGGACTAGCAGTGACTGTCTTGTTGTCTTTATTTACTTCCACCATAGCACTTTCCAGACTGTTGGAAATGGCTGGTTCTCTTCTGTCTTCTGGGATGACAGTAGCTCCCCGAGACTAGAGGTTATGTCTTGCTTACATAGCCCAGTCGTTGTATGGCACTCCATTGTGCTTAGTAAATCTGTGAGTGACATTCAAACGGAGATGACTACTGGATAACTGAATATATGCAAATGGTCCAAGAAATTTAGGAATTCTGTAACAAATGGGAAAAGTTAATTTATTGCAAATGAGTCTGGGAGAATTATTGATAATAATTATATGAAATAATAAATAATAGAATTATTTATACAGTGATGCTTTTAGGGCATTGACAGCAGACTTTCCTGTAGCTCAGTTATTTTATTAAAAAGAAGAGGCCTCTATAATGTTCCTTAGATCTTTCTTCATTAACTTTAATCTTGCCAGATGGAAACATTACCCTTATATATCTGAGACATTCATCCCTACATTAAAACTGTTTTAATCTTTTCCTGATTCCAGTGTTAAATGACCTACCAGTTTTCTGCATCCATCCTATAAATAACTATAGAAGATGAACTAATACATAATCGTGGCTGGGAAGATAAACTGGGCTCACGTGGCATCCTAGCTGCTTTCTTATAAAATTCCTCCCTAAGAATGAATATGAATGGATTCCCTTCTTAAGAACTTGTTAAGGCCCCGTTAACTGAGAGATGTCACTGATTTCTGAGATGTTGAAATGTCAAACACTTAGAATCTATAAAATATGGTTTTGTTTTCTTTCTTATTTTTTGATGACAGTTATTTCAAGGCTAGAAGTAAAATGTCTTTTTTACTATTTAAATTATGTAAATCATTGTTACCTTGCAGGGCAGCTTGGTGTTTGTGGTTGGAAAAATGGATGGGTTACTGATGGTTAGCGGTCGAAGACATAATGCTGATGATATTGTTGCTACTGGATTGGCTGTTGAATCGATAAAGACTGTGTACAGAGGAAGGTGAGTAGTATGAAGTTCAAATATTCGCACTTGCAGTGGAATCTGAAGATACCGTTATTGGGTGATTTGTTTTCTGTAGATTCTCTTTCCAAGTGATTAGGTTGTTTTGGTTAAGCATAGCAAACCTGGGCTTTGAAGATTTATCATAAAATGTCTGGTTCTTTGGCTGTAATTGAGAGGAATAAGATAATATCCTGTACTTCAGTTTTTAGTTACTGTTTGTTGAATCCGAAGGACTAAGGAGATTCTAAAGCCTTGACTCTCCTACATCCCTTCAATACAGAAGTAGTCCCAGTAAGTCTAACTGGGATAGATGCTACTCTGTAGGAGTTTTGCATCTAAGAGTTGTTTCTCTTACTTGACTCTTAACTAAATTATTATACCATTTTAATGCAGAGATTGACATAGTACATAAGCATAAATTTCAAATTCCATGAATGAAGTCAGTTAGATACCCTTTTTTCTTTGCTTATTAATTCAAGAAAAGATATTTGATATATATTTGAGTCATTGATGTTAGTAGTTTACATTCATGGATATATATCTTTAAAGCAATCTTGGTGTCCCTTAGTTTTGGAAGAAATAAGAAAAATTAATGAAACTGGTTAGAGAACCAGTTCCTGAAATGTGTGGTTTTTTATAATGGTGTGACTTCCTAAGAGATGTAAACTCTACAGAGTGCAGTTATATCCCCAGCACTCAGCAGAGCCCCTGGAACACAGTAGGTATTCAGTTAATATATGTGGATGGAAGGCAGGAAGGGAGGGAGATGGCCCGGCTTGCTGGCACACTCAGCTCTCCATTGACTTCCCATTATTTCATACATTCATTCAGCAAATATTTATTGGGTGCCAACTGCTTGCCACTGTTCTAGATGCTCAGGGGTGGCAGTGAACAAAACAGGCCAGGTGTCTGCCCTGGGGAAGCCCACATTCTCACTGGGGGAACAGAAGGTAACCACGTAGGGAACTAGGTAACAGGTGAGCTGGTGAGGAGCGCCATGCAGGCATGACACACAGGGTGGGGGGGGTGCCTGCGGGTCTGTGTGGGGTGGTCTGGGAATGCCTCACCAGTAAGGGGACGTTCGAGCGGAGACCTCACTCAGAACATCCCCCGCCCCTGGCCGACCAGGTCCGCGGTGAGCACCCGGGCCGGGTCTGACCTCTCCCCACCACTCTCTGCTTCACCACTCTGCTCCAGGCACACTGGCCTTCTTGCTGTTCCTCAAACCTGCCAAGCTCGTTCCTACCTCAGAACCTTTTCGCTTTCCGTTCCTTCTGCCCGGAAACCTCTTCCTCCAGATCTTCGCGCGGCTCGCGTCCTCACCTCATTCAGGTCTCTGCTCCAGTGTCCGCTCCTCAGGGAGGCGCTCCCCAGCCACCCCGCCTTCATAGCACGCCCCCCGCACACCGCTGCGCGCCCCCCGCCTTGGTTTCCCCTAGTGTATATTACCACATGACATTATTTTACATTTATTTGTTTGTTCTGTCTCTGACACGCAAGCTCCACGAAGACAGGGACTGTCTTATTTATTGCTACGTCCCAACATTCACTACAGTGGTGCTTAATACGTGTTTTTTGAGTCCTCATTTTGATGGTAATGATTGTGACATTTTCTTTTCTAAACTACTCATTCCTGGGCAGTGTGGTGGGGATGTCTCCTCTCTGTAATTCCAACTGAGCAAAGCAAATAGGACTGGTTGTGAAGGGAGTCTGATGTGTTTGATCTGTCTCTCTTAGAATTGCTGTGTTTTCTGTGTCTGTATTTTATGATGAGCGCATCGTGGTGGTTGCGGAACAAAGACCCGACGCTTCTGAGGAAGATAGTTTCCAGTGGATGAGCCGTGTGCTGCAGGTGAGCACACCTGGGGTCTTTGTCAGGGAAGTCGGCGTTGTCATCAGAGGTGGCAGCAGCCAATATTTATTGGCTGGCACCCAATAAATATTTGCTGAATTTTTCTTCAATGGACCACTTATACCACCTTATTTTTTTCCTTCCAGTCACTACTCACGTATTCTGGGTACTGTTAGCAAAATCAGATAACTAATACCAGGCCTCCTGGTGGCCTACATGGTATTTTTCTGGTCAGGTTGCCAAAAACAGTTGAATTGACTTGGCGCAGCAAGTTCTTTCATTTTTTTGTGCCTGAGCATTTACTGCTTATGAACATTTCAACTGTCCAAATGTGGAACACACCTTTGACAGTAATCAGTCCCCACGTCAACAGCTGCAGTCTTATTACATGCTTTAAGTGGTGCCTAAAGTGCGAAGGATCCAGGAAAGTATAAGATCTTGCTCTTACTTGGCGGGAGCTTTGCTGTGGAGTTAGAGATCTAGGTGAAATAAACCACTAGTGGAGGAGGAAGATTTCGGCTAAGTGTAAGGGGTATATTTCTAGAGAGAGCAGGCTAAAATGATGAAAAGAGCCTGGTGTTCGTTTAGAATCATACCATGAACCCCAGCTCCACTCCCTACCACATAAGTACTTTAGGCAAGTTACTTAACATCACTGAGTGTAGTTCCTAACCTGTAAAGTGGGGATAAAATTATCTATATTTCAGAGCTGTTGAAAGAATTAATTGATGGTAATTAGATAATGAATTGAAATATTTAGTGCCTGCATTCAGTAAAAGATGATGGTGATTATGTTTAACATAAAGTAGAATAATCATATGCCTAATCTCCAGTGAGGAGTTTATAGAGAGGCCCATCTATCTTAAGTAACATTCCCTTCCACTCTGTCCCCTCACTCTTCTGTATTTTTCTAACTAGTATTTATCAGCATATGTGTTTATATTTATTGTTTTCTGCATCCACTGTAATATAAGCCTCATGAAGGCCAAGACTTTGTCTCTCTTGTTCCCTGCTCAGCCCCCAGAATCAGATAGCATCAGGCCAGCACACCATCAGAGTAGGCTCAGTAAATATTTGTTGGATAAATAAATGGTCCAAAGAAAGCATGGACTATCCTTGCCATAGCAACTTCTGTGCATTGAGAGTGTTCCCAGCGTCAGTGACTTGTCTGCTTGGGG